TTCTTGCAACTTTTCATTAGCTCTGAAAAGTATTTCACCAGTATTCAGTTTAACCACTTTCCGTGTCTATACAAAACTGCATTTTGGTCTACATGCTACTTACTTTGTAGACATACTGGTAGGTTCAGCCACTTTAAGCAGAAATCCAAGTATATAGAATTTTTGCTTTTCCAGAAATCCTCCCAATGCTAATACAAACAATTATGATCAGTTATGATTCATTAAATTTATTCATATGTGACTTCCTAGTTTAGACCGATGACGGGAATTTTAAAGGTGCCTATAAAAGTGATTTGTAGGAGCCACTGTTGTGGTTGATTTCGCTATAGTAATAGTTTCCTGTAGATTGAGATACTGCTCAACCAGTGGTGTTATCCAGAAAAAGATCTGGGAGGAGGCTCAAGATCCAGGGTCGTGGAGATAGAAAACTGCATAGCAGGGGGGGGGGGGGACTCGCTTAGTCCAGGTAGCATACTTCACAGAAGGTATAACATGCTGTAATATGTAGAAGAAGCCTAATGAGCTGTTACGCTTCGGGAAGGGAAACTCCGAGGAGCCCCAAATCCCTCCCTTGAATACGCCGGTGTGCCCATACCAGAATAGAAACAGAGGCGTAGGGTCTGTGGGTCTAGCTCAAAGAGTTCCGCCGTTCTTTCTAATATCATTGGGTTTGCATCCAACCAGCGTCGGCGACGAAGCAAATAAGAAATAAATAAAGTCCTTCTTGAATAAATTTACAACTTGATGCATTAATTAATGAAATTATCCCGTTTTTAGTCATAAAATGCTACCAGACATTTGAGAAAAAAAATAATATTTTAAATTTCAATAGGCATTAAGAGTAATTCATGTAATTTTTTCTTATGAATGTGGAAGTGGAACAACCAGCGGGTACGCTAATGCAGTCGGCGGCGCGGCACCTCAAAGACAAACGCTGTATTTTGTGTTTTAGTGGTTTCAGCATTTAGAAGGCTCGCTATTATTATATTTTTTTATACCTACAATCGCATCCTAAGAAAAAAATTCGGCCTGATTTTTTTGTTCTTTTTCCTGTTGTGCTTTTTGTCACTGCAAGCAAACTGTAGCTAAGCTTTTTGAAAAACTTAGTGAGACTTCGCTTTGAAATGATATTCCCAACTTGGGGGAATAGGACGGAGGTTTTTTTCAGTGTACTCGTATAGTACAGAAACATTTTCACTGTATACTGGAAATCTATTTTGAATAACAATATGTCATTTTTTCAGACTGCTACGTGGCCCGTATTAGATTTTTATAAAAATGTGTTTGTTTATTTGTTACTTTTGTTTATGGATTTATAGAGAAACTGTTTTTTTTTTGAGAATTCTAGATTGATTTATTACTTGTTTGTATTTTAAAGGGTATTATTTTTGTTTTAATTGCATGGAATTGACTGTTTGTTTTTATTATTTTATACTATACACTATGCACCGGCGGGTCTTCGGCGATCTAGTTCTTTTCTGCCGCTACACCAACGGACTTTGCTCCTCGGAGCTCTCTTCCATGATGCAGCCGCGCGATGTGCCTGTCAGATAGACCCGCCTAACTTTGACGTCCCATCCTAACCGTGTCGAGCTTCGTTCATCCAGAACTGGGCGATACGACCGCCCCTTTGTCCCGAGAGTTTTGAGACTGTGGAACAATCTACAAGAGGAAGCTTTTCCCAGTTCTACTAACCTTAGTTCAAAAATCGTATTAACAAAATTTCTTTGGGACCATCATAGCAGCCGCGGTGTTTCGGCATTTAGGCTTGTGCCTGCGCGACTGCTTCGATATATAATATAGGTATATATATATAATATATATTGATTTTCTTCTCATAATAAGACATTTATGACTATAAAAAATTCTGTCAATTTATTCTTAATAGTCCCCTAAAATTGAAAGATATCGAGGGTGCTCAATACTTTTGGCCAAGGCTGTATAATATAGGTACATATATATACCTGTATATATATATATATATATATACTCCATAATCATTTCAATTTTTGTCTTGTCTATTGAATACCAAATATATTTGACCTACCATAGAAAAATTCATCTCTTAATCTCTGTTTGGGAATCTGACTGACCAGTTATTAAACCGACCGTCGGCAATGAGTAATGAGGGGAGCACAAACAAGTCGTCCTGTGACCTGTCTTTAGGTAGTGCGTCCCTCTTTTATCCAGTATAATTTATTGCCGGTTTATTTCTTTCATGTCCTTTACCGCCGTCTGATGGATCACTCTAAGCAAAAGCTAAACATACACGGTAGTGATTACCGAAAGGACATGCGATAAATAGGTTACAGTAACAATTAAGAGTTTTGAGCGTAGCAACTAGAATTCTTAGAGAAATTTTACATGGAGCACCCTTCAATACACTTTAAGGAGTGTGTATAATTAGTATTTTTAAGTGTTGTGTTCTGAAGATTTAAAAATAGGAAAATTGATATATCATTATCTGCCGTTGGTAATAATGGAATCATCAACTTGAGCATTTGATAGACCAATTGAGTATGAGTGAAAGACGAAAGGTAAGAAATCAAGGGCCCTGGATGGAATGAAGCTTCTCAAACGCTGGGAGATTTTAGGTACTAATTCGCGTCGTGTATCGGCGGAGTGTGGGTGGAGACAGTTGATTATGGTTTGTTCACCAAAATATTCATTCAGATCATATTGTGGCCGAATCATGAATCTGGATATCCATATTTTTAGCGTGTATGTCCAGCTTTACATCCACCCTTCAACTGGATAGATACACCCACACACATGCCGGTATACAGTAGGTTTTTTGTGTTTATGATTTACTGCCTGGAGGCGACCAAGATATTCAATAAATGGAAGAAAGGTTACAGGGGCATGGTTCACCTGAATGGGTTCCCTACTTTTAATTTTATTGATTTCAACAGAGTAATGCCTAGTTTGGCATGTCATAGAGTATATATATATAATTGAGTTTATACAGGGTAATACATATTATTATTTTTTCTGTCTAGACGATATATGATAAATAGCATTTTCTGGAAAATAGGCTTGAAAAGTAGAGTGATTTAGCGTTCCACCCATTGGCGATAACCCACCTGTCGTTCTGGTTTCCTTGACATTGTGCAATATCAGTAACTACTATATTGATTCTAACAGAGGTTGGAATGGATTATTGTTGGATTATTGTTCGGTCACAAGTTTGAAAATGAGTGTAAGAGCGCTAAACTTAGTAACCAGAAAAGAAAGCAGATTTTCCAAACTGTGTGCTTACATTCTAAAAGCTTTTTCAGTGTAGATGAAAACAATCACTTTGTTTTTTGTATGTTCGTATTTATTTTTCAGGGAACATGAATAATGTAGACTGAAGAGTATAAAATTAAATAAAGAAATGGAACATCACATCTATTTTCTCGCAATATACTTGAAGGATCTACTTTGGAAATGTTTGGCAATAATCATTGAGGTAGAATGCAAAACTAAATAACAAATTTGTATCGTATTTTCTTCTTTTTGGTACTACCCAGTCATGAATCACAAAAATTTAGTTGTTCAATAAAGAGTTCCAGCACGATGTAACTTCAAACTAACAACTTTTTAGGACAGCATAAAAGAACGGTGGGCCTTTGGAGTCACTATCGAATGATCTTATAATCCTCCTAATGTTTGTCTAGTCGCAAATGAAACCTCATAAGCTAATAGTGCCTACTGATGACATTCCGGCATTCACGGTGGCTTTTTTAAGCAAATACATAATACATAAGTTATTCTTTGCGTTTAGTGGTGTTACAACTTAAGCGACGATGTCTCAAATTCCAAATATGTTAGAATAACAATAGTCGCCTTTACATCATTAGCGGAGAATCGAAATATTAGCACCCCACTTCCTGCTAGTTTCGCAATACCTAAAACAATCCGGTGTTTTGCGGTCAACTACCTTCAGGTGACCTTCATTCCTGGATATTTACCTTCCTCCTGACTAGATGCTATATCACAGACATCACAGTTTAACGCCAAGAACTGTTTCAACGACGAAGTGACGCTACTCTTCTATAGTCCATATCATTTCGCCACTACTTGCTTAACCACCTTAGGCGCTAATGCGACGTTGCAGTTCAGTATTTTGGGAGGCCAGAAGATTAAGGAGGTATGTGCAACTTCGATTGCAGATTTTTGTACCTTATTATAACAATGAACTGATGAATTATAATTTATTGTTCGCCCAACCTTCGTTTTTGGCTTGTCTATTGAATACCAAATATTTCACCAACCACAGAAAAATTCATCTGTCAATCTCTGTTTGGGATCTGACCAGTTATTAAACAGACTGTCGGCAATGAGTAATGACCTGTCTTTATGTAGAGCGTCCCACTTTTTGCCAGTATAATTTATAGCACACATGAGAACATGTGAATCTCTATTCAGACAGTAGACAAGCAAAACCTTGACTGGCTTCTTCTACCGAGTCAAATTCTTAACTCAGTCTTTACCGATAGCTTAGCACACCAATATTATTATATTGAATATCGCATATCGTAGGCGTAGTTCCGTTGAAATTTTGCAGGATTGCATGCTTACCTAAAAGTAATGTAAAAGTAGACGGACCGAACTCGGTTTTTCTCACTTTTTTGTTTTGTATCGAAATCAACACCTCTTAAGCTGAATATTGAAATGATTGAATATGTACAAAATAAGGCAATGAAAAGTGCCAATTAATTATCAAAATACATGTTTTGTACCTTTTTTGTTTTTTTAATCATAAATTTGCATTTATTCAAATATGTTATGTTTAGCAGCTTAACACGTTCGCTGCTCACGCCGACAACGTGGCGGCATAAGAATATGTATGCGAGTGCTCACGCCGCAACCTTGTCGGCGTAGTCCCTGTTGTAGTTAAATATAGTTATAAGCGAAGCGCGCCTCAGTGTGCCTTTTACTTTAGTAGGAGCACGTTGCTTAGTGTTCTAACCTTAAGAATTCACACGTGGTTCGGAATTTAGTACATTAATTTTGCAATGGCGGACAATCCCATTCCGGGACCTTCAGTATCGAAAAGATTAAGGTTTAGGGATCCTAGAAATCTAAACGACGAAGAACTACGTCAATTGGCATATCTTTCTGAAGATTCCTTAGACGACGAACCATTTGAAGACTCCGGAAGTGAATGGAGTGGTGCAGAAGATATAATCGAAGAGGCAGTAAACTCCTTGGAAAGCGACTCCGGGCATTCAAATGATGAGGCGGAAGTCCCTTCATTGAGCGAAATGTGGACAGAGGGCCCTCCGCAATTGAAAAAAATTATGTTTACTGGGCAGCAACGATTGAATGTACCAGTACCTGATAGAAGGAGGCCCATCGATTTTTTTTCCTCCTCGTGGACGATAATTTTTTTGAACTACTGGTCCGAGAAACTAACAGTTACGCAGAAATTGTGTTGCTGAATGAATGTCAAGGGCCCCATTCCAGGATTAGCCGTTGGAAACCAGTCAATAAAGAAGAAATGTCAATATTTTTAGGAATGACATTTTATATGGGTATACTCCAACTACCAAGATTTAGGGACTATTGGCGTACCGACCGTTTATACAACTTTAGGATCAGGAAGTTCATGAGCAGAGACATATATCTAATTATATTGCGATGTCTTCATTTTGCCGAGAACCCTCGAGCTGGGGGAGCAGCTCCAAGTGATAAATTATACAAGGTTCGCCCTTTGCTGGATTTCTTCAACAAGAAAATGTCGATAATTTATTCGCCAGGAAAAAACCTGTCTATCGACGAATCCATGCTTCTTTGGCGCGGGCGGCTTCTGTTTCGTCAATATATAAAAAACAAAAAGCACAAGTATGGCATAAAGTTTTACCTACTTACCGAATGTGACGGAACTATTTTAAAAATACAGATTTATTGTGGTGTTTTTGACGATTTAGGTGGTAAAGGACACGCTGCAAATGTTGTTCTCAATCTGTTGGATAATTACTGTAATAATGGATATAGTGTGTACATGGATAATTTCTATAACTCTGTATCGCTTGCACGTCAGTTACTGGAAAATAAGATCTTTTGTACGGGAACGTTGCGCGCTGGAAGAAAGGATACCCCCAAGGAAGTAAGTACATCAAAACTGAAAACAGGTGAATCTATCTATCGTTATGGGGCAAATGTGTGTGTGGGTAAGTGGAAAGACAAAAGGGAGGTGCTATATATCACAACAGAACATGAAAACACATTTGAAGAAGTGACTTCTAGATCTGGTAATAAAAAAAGTAAACCAACTCCTGTAGTGCAATATAACAAATATATGTCTGGCATAGACCTGCAAGACCAGATGCAGTCTTATTATCCCTCACATAGAAAGACAATTAGATGGTACAAAAAAGTGGTCTACATATTTGCGAGATGATGCTCCATAATTCTTACATGCTTTACAACAAATATTCTGGGCAGAAGATGTCATTGTTAGATTATAGAGAGTCAGTCATAGAAGCACTGCTTCCAGATATTCCAGATAGCGCAATTCAGAACCAGACCAGTGGGAAGGAACCATCAACTCAACATCCTCCATCAAAATGTGAAGCAAGGAGTGAAAATAATAGAAAACAGCGGAAGAGGTGTCGCTGCTGTTCAAAACGTGGTGTTCGCAAAGATGCCATGTACTTTTGTAAATCGTATCCAGATTTACCAGGACTATGTCTAGAACCTTGTTTCAAGGAATTCCACGAAAATCTAAAATAAAATGATATATAGGTTTGTTTTATTTTGTTTTAATTTGCTGTTTGTAATTTATGTTATGTAAAGAATATATTTTTAATTATTTGAATGTTAAGTTCAGGGAAGTATGATTTTGTTTTTTAATTATAGTCACTTATTATTTGCTTTTATTTTTTGTGCAAAATATATAGTAAATAAAGATGTTTGAAGGATAGTTATTATTGACGACACATGTGCGTCATTGAGCACCTAGCAAGAATAAATAGTGCGCAGTGCTCATGCCGCCACCTGTGCGTCGTGTCTTTTTTTTCTGTAAATTTAAAGAAAAAAGTATTTTTAATTGTAGTTCCAACTAATTTATGCTTAAAAAATGTCAAATAAAAGCATTTGACAATGCCGCACCAGTGACATCTATATAATTGTTGGTGAGCAGCCAACGTGTTAAGCAACATAAATCAGTTTAACAGTATTGAATTCGAAAATCACGTGACGAGACGACCGCACCGCATGATACTATGTAGAAAAACCAGAAAATTGCACAAGGGTATCGGCACTACCGGAAAATTCCTTGCAAGTACGCTTTCCTTGTAATAATACTTGCACGTTCCCACATTCCAGGTAAATGTCAGTAGTTACTGGCTAACCGGCAACACTGAAGATGATTCATTTTAGCCGAAGAATGCTACGCGTGGCTGGCGGGGAATGCCGTACAGCTCAAAGTAAGAGGCGCGCCGTTGCCAGTGCTTTATATTTTCCAAAGATTCTCTGTAATAACTGTCTCCTCGCTATAATATTCAAATATCTCTCAATAACAAGTATAGACAAGTGGGAAAGGGAGCCCCTCGATCTGTTCTAATACTGGGAGGCATGGTGAAACGGTAGGTAGTATGGACCGAAACCCTTATCTTAAAATTAAAAAGTTTTTCATGAAGTTTGTGGGATATACAGGGTGATTTATTTAAACACGCCAAACCTTTAAGATCGCATATCCCAGGCACTATTAAACCGATTTCGTTAAAATAGAAGTTACGTACAGGTGGACGGACGGTTAAAAAATGCAGGGCCGGGCTATGTTTTTTCACTGTTTTGCTTTTGACCAAATCAACACTTTTTAGCTTGATATTGAAATGTTTGACAGTGTACATAAACGCCAACGAATAGCGCTAACCTATTAGCTAAATAGATTGTGTTGATTTTCGTGAAAAAAAAAACTGGTGTTGATTTGAAGAAAAATTGAGAATTTTAATTTTCAAATTTCCATGTGAGTTTCGTATAGGTAACTTTCGCTCCCTCTGGTAGGCTTAATATGCCCCGGCCACGAGATGTAATCGATCCCGGATATGAAGGAAGCATTGTAGAATTGATTTTCGTGAAAAAAAAGTGGTGTTGATTTGAAGAAAAATTGAGAATTTTAATTTTCAAATTTCCATGTGCTTTTCGTATAGGTAACTTTCGCTCCCTCTGGTAGGCTTAATATGCCCCGGCCACGAGATGTAATCGATCCGGGATATGAAGGATGCATTGTAGAATCGATTTTCGTGAAAAAAAGTGGTGTTGATTTGAAGAAAAATTGAGAATTTTAATTTTCAAATTTCCATGTGCTTTTCGTATAGGTAACTTTCGCTCCCTCTGGTAGGCTTAATATGCCCCGGCCACGAGATGTAATCGATCCCGGATATGAAGGAAGCATTGTAGAATTGATTTTCGTGAAGAAAAAGTGGTGTTGATTTGAAGAAAAATTGAGTAATTTAATTTTAAAAATTTCCATGTGCTTTTCGTATAGGTAACTTTCGCTCCCTCTGGTAGGCTTAATATGCCCCGGCCACGAGATGTAATCGATCCCGGATATGAAGGAAGCATTGTAGAATTGATTTTCGTGAAAAAAAAGTGGTGTTGATTTGAAGAAAAATTGAGAATTTTAATTTTCAAATTTCCATGTGCTTTTCGTATAGGTAACTTTCGCTCCCTCTGGTAGGCTTAATATGCCCCGGCCACGAGATGTAATCAATCCCGGATATGAAGGAAGCATTGTAGAATCGATTTTCGTGAAAAAAAAGTGGTGTTGATTTGAAGAAAAATTGAGAATTTTAATTTTCAAATTTCCATGTGCTTTTCGTATAGGTAACTTTCGCTCCCTCTGGTAGGCTTAATATGCCCCGGCCACGAGATGTAATCGATCCGGGATATGAAGGATGCATTGTAGAATCGATTTTCGTGAAAAAAAAGTGGTGTTGATTTGAAGAAAAATTGAGAATTTTAATTTTCAAATGTCCATGTGCTTTTCGTATAGGTAACTTTCGCTCCCTCTGGTAGGCTTAATATGCCCCGGCCACGAGATGTAATCGATCCGGGATATGAAGGATGCATTGTAGAATCGATTTTCGTGAAAAAAAAGTGGTGTTGATTTGAAGAAAAATTGAGTATTTTAATTTTCAAATTTCCATGTGCTTTTCGTATAGGTAACTTTCGCTCCCTCTGGTAGACTTAATATGCCCCGGCCACGAGATGTAATCGATCCCGGATATGAAGGAAGCATTGTAGAATTGATTTTCGTGAAGAAAAAGTGGTGTTGATTTGAAGAAAAATTGAGTAATTTAATTTTCAAATTTCCATGTGCTTTTCGTATAGGTAACTTTCGCTCCCTCTGGTAGGCTTAATATGCCCCGGCCACGAGATGTAATCGATCCCAGATATGAAGGATGCATTGTAGAATCGATTTTCGTGAAAAAAAAGTGGTGTTGATTTGAAGAAAAATTGAGAATTTTAATTTTCAAGTTTTCATGTGCGTTTGGTATAGATAACTTTCGCTCCCTCTGGTAGGCTTAATATGCCCCGGCCACGAGATGTAATCAATCCCGGATATGAAGAAAGCATTGTAGAATTGATTTTCGTGAAGAAAAAGTGGTGTTGATTTGAAGAAAAATTGAGAATTTTAATTTTCAAATTTCCATGTGAGTTTCGTATAGGTAACTTTCGCTCCCTCTGGTAGGCTTAATATGCCCCGGCCACGAGATGTAATCGATCCCGGATATGAAGGAAGCATTGTAGAATTCATTTTCGTGAAAAAAAAGTGGTGTTGATTTGATGAAAAATTGAGAATTTTAATTTTCAAATTTCCATGTGCTTTTCGTATAGGTAACTTTCGCTCCCTCTGGTAGGCTTAATATGCCCCGGCCACGAGATGTAATCAATCCCGGATATGAAGGAAGCATTGTAGAATTGATTTTCGTGAAGAAAAAGTGCTGTTGATTTGAAGAAAAATTGAGTATTTTAATTTTCAAATTTCCATGTGCTTTTCGTATAGGTAACTTTCGCTCCCTCTGGTAGGCTTAATATGCCCCGGCCACGAGATGTAATCGATCCCGGATATGAAGGAAGCATTGTAGAATTGATTTTCGTGAAGAAAAAGTGGTGTTGATTTGAAGAAAAATTGAGTATTTTAATTTTCAAATTTCCATGTGCTTTTCGTATAGGTAACTTTCGCTCCCTCTGGTAGGCTTAATATGCCCCGGCCACGAGATGTAATCGATCCCGGATATGAAGGAAGCATTGTAGAATTGATTTTCGTGAAGAAAAAGTGGTGTTGATTTGAAGAAAAATTGAGAATTTTAATTTTCAAATTTCCATGTGCTTTTCGTATAGGTAACTTTCGCTCCCTCTGGTAGGCTTAATAGGCCCCGGCCACGAGATGTAATCGATCCGGGATATGAAGGATGCATTGTAGAATCGA